CGCGGGGGGTGGCGGGGTGGGGGTGCTGCCATGATGCAGTTTACTTAGCATCTGAAAATACATTTCCTCAAAGGTATTTTTAATCTGAAAAGAGCTTCACTGAGTGAGAAGTAGTGTTGAGAGCTCAGCAGACAGTTAGGTTTCACTCTCCCTTTCACCCGAGAGCCTGCAGGAGTCATGGGCGGGGTGTGTGGGGAGGGGGGCGCTCTGCCATGAGGAAGTTCAGCTTAAAGACACGTCCCAGAGGCGTTTCTGGTCCCCACCTGTCATACCACAGGTATTCAAACATGCATGAATGAGTCAAAGCAAGGTTTTCGGCATGTTTTTGATGAGAGTATAACATTTTGACATGATATAAAACTCAAAAAAGTTGATTTCACATGATATTGCCCCTTTAAGTGTTTGGCCAACATTTTTATTGCACAAAACAAAAACTTATTTTTTTATGAGAGGAACAAAAAATAATTGTTGGAGCTTTGTTTTCATATTTGAAAACACAAGCAAGAACTATTTAATTAAACTACTGGTAATAACATAATGCACTAAATATTGCCAGTCATTTTTAATAAAACGATACAGTATTTCTGCAAAATCTGTTCAGAGTTCTCCTACACTCTGAACACTCTTGCAAAAGTGTTATTACTACTGTGAAGTTGTTTCCAACAGTGTAACTGCTCCCATTTACAATCCCAGCAGATCAGCTGACAGGATGATAAACAGATTTTGATCAAAAGACGTGACAAACTCAAACTCTSCGGTTCCTCGCTCAGAGACCCTCTCCTTTTATCTCTCCTGTCAAACATTTAAGGTGCTGGAACATCTTCAACAACATCGTGCTACWGGGAACATTTACGGTATTTCTGCATGCCAGATGCTGCGGTAAAAGAAAATTATTTCCTGTGCATCATAAAATGGCACTTTGTAATGGATCAGTTTAAAACATTTTTAGTTTGGCTAATTGAGTAACATTGTCTAAAAAAATACAAACAAAACTTTTTATTGTTTTTAGCTTGTTCTTTTTTTTTCAATTATTTTATTAAAGGGGTGATATGTGCTTTCCAAGCCTATATTTCAATTTTATACTAAAATAAAGTAACTATGTCACATTTTCAGCTTATGAAAGAGCTATTAGTAAAAATCCCCAAAACAATTTACTTCTCATCTTGACAGTTTCTAAACACCTTGAAATAGGTCTCTGTCTCTTTAAGAAAATCCAACTACCGGCACTTCGGTCACGCCCATTCCAGCGGCTTAAAGACACGTCCCAGGGGTGTTTCTGGTCCCAAAAGGTGTTTCTAGTCCCTAGCTGTCGTTTTGCTCCTCAGCATGGCTTCCTAAAAACGCTMCAGGATTTCTCAAACATGCATGAATGAGTGAAAGCAAGGCTTTTGGCATGTTTTTTTTTAATAGAGTATAACATTATAACATGATAGAAAACTCAAAAAAGTTGATTTTACATGATATTGCCCCTTTAAAACAGCTGAACCTTTAACAAGTGTGAAGATGTAAAAAAATAAAACTGGTTGTTGACTTTATTTTCTTGCACACAAATTATTTAAATTTTATTTAACCACTTTCTATCTGCAACATGAGTTTTTACTTGATTATTTTTTGTAGATTTTCTGCAAACATCACTCATGTAAAAGTAAAAGTGGCTCTGTGTGTGATTTAAGTGTTCCTCCTCCGTCAGCCTGAGACTTATTCTACATTTGATTTGTTTTTCCACCATCCTTTGTGTCTCAGTTAACAATTACAAAAACATATCTTGTTTTTAAACAGCCAACCTGTTCAKAAATGACTTTTGATTTGGTGCCAAGCAACATAAAACAAGTTTGAACCCAACTTTTGACACTGGTCTTAACTCTTGCTACAGAACCGCTTCCCATAAAAGGACTCACCACTTTCCAGTAAGAGAGAGTGGAGTTCCTGACCGAGAGTGTTAGTGACTCCTCAGAACATAACACATTAGACAGTTTCCCCCTGAGGCCGTAATGTTAGAACAGCATTAAACATCCAGAATGACCTCATGGGAAATAACTGATGTCTGTCAAATGAACTTGAATTAAAGTCATCAAAGTCATGAAACAAGCCTTTCCTTGTACCCGCCTGTCCTGCCTCATGAATTCACTCTCAGTCCGTGGGTGCTTTCCAATCCCCTCCCTCCYACTTCCACTCACGCTTACTTCTTTTGCCATCTCATTGTTTAGGTCCCTTAGCACGCCCTGCACAGCAGCAACTCTTCCTCTTTCCTGATTAAGTTTGTTCTTCTCGATTCTGCAATGATTAACTTCTTGCCCTCAAAAGTTAAAACGGAAGGAAATCACCGTACGGACTTTGTAGGAGAGCTGTGAAGACGCACCGGTCCTCCTGAGGTCAGTTCTGCTCAGATTTTAAATTTGACAAACACGTGAGTCTGCTTATGAGATTCAGCCCATCACCTGCAGARAAACAATAAATCACAGTTTGTGTTTATAAAGAGCTGTTTTTTCATGTTTCTGTGTAATGCAGAAGAACTGAGGATGTTTGCAGCCTTGCATTTGTTCTGTCTTCTGTCGGCTTTCACTTTGACAAAACAAGGTACGGGTTTAACTTCCCACTCTGTGCTTCTCTGAGCTAAAAGACAGGAAAGAATAAACTTAAACTTTGTTTTGTTTCTCACTCTACAGGATCTGTGAGTCTGGAGGTGAACCCCACGATTCTCGCAGAGCGTGGTGAACAAGTTTCCCTGCGCTGCAGCCCATCCTCATCTCACCATGGACTATCAGTCAAACACATGGAGTGGTCCCGAGGCAGTGAGTCTCTCTGCTCTGTGAACAGCAAACAGGATGTCATCACACACGAAAGTCATTCTTTAAGTGACTTCTATTGCACGTATCGAGATGGACAGCTGTCCCTCTTCTTTCAAAGAATGCTGCCTCTGGAGAGTGGACGCCTGAATCCTTACAGATGCAAACTTCACTCCAACCAAGGAGTGGCTTTCATCTACACCACAGTGGAGCTACAAGGTCAGAGTCCACATTTATTCCTGCTTAGACAAATAGTTACTGTTTGTTCCTCTATTTAAGAAGTAGAGTCTTCCCTGCCTTTGTTTGCAAATTCACTGAACTTCTGTGGAACAACAGGAATGCCTGAAGCAGGTCTGCTCACTATGTACACAGATAAAGGAAAGGTTTTATGAATACATGGTCAATTATTCATCAGGTTTATCAACCACATAAACAGTACCGTTAAACATAACTTGTAATTTCTGTTCCTTCTGAGTCAGACTTTATTTTATATCAAGGTGGGATTGAACAGCAATACTTCTGTCTGGAAGAGAGGATATGCTTAGAAACTTAATTTCATTAAGCTTTTAAGATAATGATATTTTTGTTTCTTTTTTAAACAACACTGCTTTGTTCAGGAAAATTACATCAAAATTAATAAGAGCAGTTAGTCTGGTTTGTGAGTCTTTCAGTGGTTTTTGAGGGACTTTTGCAATTTTTTTTTTGTTTTCTGTTCAGTCCTGTTGTGCAATGTGTGTTTAATAAAAAAAAATGAAGTGGACAAAAGAAGACTTATCAGACAGGATAAAAACTATCTACAGCAGATAAACAGTCTAAATGTTTTTTTAGGAAACAGAAAAGAACTTATCAAAGACCCAGCACTGAATCTAAGAATTGCATCATCCCTCCCTGACTGTATGTAAAGTTTTCAGCTCTTTRGGATTCACCTTGTTGGTGTTAAATACTATTTTAACATGCTATCTATCTGTCACACTGTTATCTTTAGTATTTTTATGGATTTAACCAAAGAAATGGGAACAAAGTGAGTGTTTGTTACAGACTGCTAGTAAAAAATGCCTACAAACAGATAACATTGAGTGGATTAACAAAGAAAGAAAAACCCTTTATATGGTCATGCATTGGACTGAAAACAAACGAAAAAGCAGCCAAAGTCCAAAAAAAAAAAAAACAACTTTAATATAGAAAAAAGCAAACTTTTTTCARGAAAGTCTAACAAACCTGACTTTTTGTGGAAACATTAGTAATAAGCCTTAAAAACAAGACTGCAACAACCTAAACTGTATTTTTAACTATTAAAGTGTTGTTGTTGTAATAATTTTGGGGAAAACTGTGTTTTTCACAACCAACTTACATTTTAACTTATTGTTTTCCATRTCTTCTTCTCTTCAGAGTCCTGTGGGGAAGTTGGGAGCGTTTTAACGAAGGACGGTCCCAGCTGCACCTTCAGCCATGTCTACCCGGACGCAGATGTCCTCTGGTTCCACGACTCCCAGGACCTCTCAGACGGCTCTGTGAACCGCAGCACGTCTAAAACCGTGGACGAGCACGGCTGGCTCACCATCCGCAGCTGGCTGAGCAGCAGTGTAAAACAAGAGTGGGGAAGTTCACGCGAGCCCTACAATTGCTCCTTACAGAGCTCTACATCTGGGAGAATCATCACGAGCACTTTGGTTCGGGACATGAGACAAAAACGGGGTCCAACAGCGTCTGATGGTAATGGAGTCAAATCACACAAAACCATGACAACAGTTTTTTCTATTTTAGTCTCACTTATTGTCAGAGGGAAATAATGAATTCTGCAGAATCACATCATAGAATGTGAGAAGACTTCAGCTTAAATGATTATCATTAATCAGAGCAAATGAGGTACTATTCTGGGTTTTCTCTCTCTTTTTTCTCTCAAAAACCTGAACAACAGTCAAGTGAGTCATCTTGCCTGGACTAAAGATTTACAATACCAATTAATTTTAGCTCCCACCTATAGCAAACAAGAACAGACCTTTGAAATGTGATAACAAGTGTGTTGATAGTTGTGAAACCATAAAAACACTTCTGTTCAACAGTGAGGAATGAATGAGAGAGCACAAGGCATGCTGGGTTCATGGCCACAGTACAGAAACTAAACTGATGGACAGATGCTGACCCCTGGTGGGCTCTGTCGTGATTATCACCAAGCATGACTGCAATTAATTCAGTTCCATGTTAATTCAGTTTATTTCAGTCCACAAATGATGTACAGCAAAAGTAATTTTAGCGCACTGTGCAAAAACTAATCCTGATGCAAATTCAATTATCATGTTTATTCACACGTTTATTTTCAGTAATTATTTGATCGTGTTCATCTGTCAACAGTCAGATGAACAGCTCATTGATACATTGCAAATCACTATATAATTAGATGTATATATATTTTTAAAAATGCCATACAATAAATAAAGTTGTCTTTTTAAGGAAATCAGCATCAAATCTTCACTTTGTGCATCCTCATGAGGCAGCAGGTGACAGAGGAGAGGAATGACTCCCTTTCAACAAATAAAAAAAACATCAACTATATATTAAGAATATTGCCATGACCACTGAAGGCTGAAAGGACAGGGAATAGACAAACATAAAAGCATAAAAAAGTAATTTTTATTAGTAAGCTAAACAAAGAGAGAACACACAGTTAAGGACAGCAATAATGTCACATATTATGTAAAAACTAACAGCAGTGGTGTCCTATGGGTGTCCTCCAGCAGTCTGAGGCCTACAGCAGTGTAGCTCAAGGCRCAGCTCAGAATAACCTAAGCCAACCCAGAGAATTTAGCAGGAAAGTCTTAAAAGTCGACAGGGTGGCTCCTGTTCTACTTTTAGAAACTCTAAGAACGGTCTTAGAAAAAACAATCATGATAAAAAATATTAATAAATCCAAAGTTTCCTCACATGCCTTACAAAAGGTTTGTGAATCTCATAAATTAAAATGAGATTTAATTTAAACAAAACTTTGGTTTATGATCTGATCCGAGTGCTATCTTGATTTATGTAAAGGGAGTTTATACATGACAGAACTCTGTGCACCAGAGCTCATCAGACTTAAGTGAGCTGTGCTCTGTGATTACACAAATCTAATCTGAGCAAAAACTACTTCACTATAAACTTTATTTTCATTTAAAATCAAACCAGAAGTTTGTTTGAGTGTGAGGAAGGGATATAAATCTTTTTTTCCACAGGTTTTTAATCCTCAGCTTGCCCTCAGTCTGTCAGGTAAAGGCCGGAGCCGAGGGACAATCTCAGCTCCGAGGTAAAAGCTTTTGCCTTGTTAACGCCTCAGTGCTCCCTGTGCACACAAAGCGTTTGAGAGCCTTTTCTCGTCAGAATGCCTCTCGGCTAATGATGCCACTAAATCGAGGGGAAAGTTTGGCTTTTAAAGCGAGGTCGTGCTGCAGATGACAATCACCGAGCACAGCGAGGTCACTTTGACAGGTACAGTGTCTGGATGGATGCAGACACAGAACCCTGAGACATGTTCTGCTCTGCTGTCCTCATGGTCTAACTCAACACACACCAGTTCATATGCTACTTGTGTTGCCTCGATTGCAACAAATAATTATCTCTCAACTGCCTCATTTTGAAAATKACTGCTACTGATGTAAATAACACAAGTTAAATAAGTTGTAACTTGCTTACACTGAACAGAAATTTAAAGGACATATTGAAACTAATTTACACTCATTACTCCTTTACAAGGCAGCAGCCTTGAGCGAGTTTGTTTTTATTTCAACACATATTTGAAGTTCAAAACATCAAAAAATAATGTGCCTGGTTATGTTTTTCTGCCATTTTCAGTTTTGCTTTAATTTTTCAGCAAAAATGATTTACCTGATTTTTGCACAAGTAGGGTAAATTCAAAGTTTGTAGGATATTAAACAATAAATTGTATTTGTTTTTGATTGTGCTTCATTAGAAATTGTTAAACATGTTTACAGGAAGGTGGATTGTAATAAATGCTGTTCTCTCTTTTTGATAACTTCACAAGAGTTGATTTCTGCTTTTGTTTACGCTAACAATAACTGACATTTGGGTAAAGTCTACTAAATCCAGCGTTTACCAGTGTGGGTTAAGTTGATGCAAATTGTACATAAAGTCAATCACTGTAAATCCCTCTGCATAATGAGCTGATTGTTAAAATGTGTCTTCAGAATGTGAAATAAAAATCAAATCTGAGATTTCTTCATGCTTCTGTGAGATTTCTGCAAAKGAGGGTTAAAGAAATRTTTGAYAGAGCATTAAAAATTAGCATTAAGTCTCACTTCGGCCCTCCTTACTCTGTGTGAAGACTTCCACTCTCAATAACCTACACAAGCTTTTGGATTATGGATAATTTGAAAAGATAAAGCCTTAATGCCAAATTGTCAGAGCCCTAAACATGCTTAAAATTTCAGAAACATTGGATTTCTGATCATTCCTTTATTGAAAATAAACWAAWAWRAKMWYAKA